TGGGAAACCACTGTGGCCACTAACTTCTAACCAGGATTAACCAAGATCTGGGAAGATCGGACGCATTTAGGGGCAATATTATTATGTGGGATTGAAAACTTCCTCCGAAGGATGAGACGTTAAGAGGAGACCTTGACGGTCAGCAGCAGCTGTGAGATCTGGCATAAGGAATTAAGAAGCGCGGGTGGCATCAACGGCAACAGCCGTGATGACCTCTTTAACTTCACCTCAAGTGCCTGCTCAGCCACTCTGACGAGCTGGCTCTGAATGTGCGGTACATAGTTGGGTGTGGGGGGCATTACTCTTCTTTATAGGGGTACAGCCCCCCAGGGACTCCCATAGAATCGCCACTGGCGTGTGAGTTGCACAACGCTACCGGCCGCGTCCATGAGAAAGTTGACAATGTCCGCCTGATCCGCGGCGGCAGCCACGTGCAGTGGGCGGCACCCGTGGTGGTCACAACAATTCACGTGGGCTCCCCGCTCCACCAGGAAACGCACCACGTCCACGCTGCACATCCCAGCGGCCTGAACACAAGTGCGTGTGCAGCACACACCACCACTCAGTGTAGCACACCACTCACAGTGCAGCACACCACTCATGCAGCGTGACCACTCGTGTGTATGCAACACCCCACTCTCAGTGCGGGACACCACTAAGTGCAGTATACTGCTCATAGACCTGTGGTAATTTTATGACCCCAATCGTGTCACACGACCACCAATTTGTGTGACATACAAGGCGCGACAGAGAAAAGACTCGTCTTACGATGACAGTCTTGTGTGTTTCCAGGCTGCACTCCCCTTTCTGTCTGATATGAGTGTCATTTTCAGAAAGTTCACGCCGTGATGATGATGGTTGTGGCTGAGTGTGTGTGTGTGCTTTCACGTCGTGATATTGTTGTGATAATGGTGGGTGAGTGTGTGTGCACCCCCTCGTGTGCCGTGCCGGCCTACATAGGTGCTCGCTTACAGCACTTTCCCCAACAGTCTGGTCAGGCTATACGGGGGATCTTTGTGTTTGTGCTTTCACCTCGTGCAGGGCGGTCTGCCCGTGTCTGTCGCTGTAGTTGACATCAGCTCCCCTCCTCAGCAGTAGCTCCAGGTCTCCCAGCTCGTCCTGTATGAGGTTAGGAACAGCAGCAGTGGTGATCCCAATTCCCCACACTGACCTCTCGTAACCTTCTGACCCGCCTCTTAATGGACATATGTGGAAAAAAGAGCTTAATAGCTCATCGGATTCCTCAAGTATAAATATCATACCTATCAACTCCTTATCAGTGCCCACCTTATTATAGACCAATTCAACCCTTAATGGTCACCCCCGTGCCCATATAAATCTCAACGTTCATCCTACAAAGTCGCATCACAAGGGAGAAATACAAAACAAAATAATGTTTTCTCCCTATTCAAACGGCTGTAACGCCGTATGGACCGAAAACTCAATTTCCCTGTACAAGAATCCCGACTCCTCACTTGACCCCCTGTTCCACAGCGACTTCCACTGACACCAAAAATTCGCTCACGCTGACCTCCTCCACCTCCACACTGACCCTCGGCCTCTGCACTCTCCCCTCACCGCCCCTCACCGCCAATCGCTGTCCTCTTGACCTGGTCAGCTCGGCAAAGCGGCTGAGGAATCTCCGACCGAGGCGGTCGTGGTCGGGGTCATTGGCCGAGCCACGCTGCTCCTCGTCGGCTGCGAGAAGCAGCCTGGAGGCTGGGTGCGGGAACATGGCCGGCTCACTGCAGACACAACTCCCAAGGTCACCCCGAGTCAACGATGACCTTGAAATCTCTCACGCCAGATTTACATCATACCTGAACTCTCTCGCACCTGCACCTCCTCTGGCCTGAACTCCCTGACACGTTAACTCCCTCACACCTAAACTCCCTCACACCTGAACCCCCTGACACATTAACTCCCTAACACCTAAACTCCCTCACACCTGAACTCTCTCGCACCTGAACCCCCTGACACGTTAACTCCCTCACACCTGAACTATCTCGCACCTGCACCCCCTCTCATCTGAACTCCATCGCACCCCCTCTCGCCTGAATCCCCTGACACGTTAACTCTCTCACACCTGAACTCTCTCGCACCTGAGCCCCCTGACACGTTAACTCCCTCACACCTGAAACTATCTTGCACCTGAACTCCCTGACACATTAACTCCCTCACACCTGAACTCTCTTGCACCTGCACCCCTTGACACGTTAACTCCCTCACACCTGAACTCTCTCGCACCTGAACCCCCTGACACGTTAACTCCCTCACACCTGAACTATCTCGCACCTGAACCCCCTGACACGTTAACTCCCTCACACCTGAACTCTCTCGCACCTGAACCCTCGCACAACCTGAACTCCCACGCACCTTATCTCACTCACGCATCAACACCTGAACTGATTTACCTCAATGATCATCCACCCGAACTCCGACTACCTTGAACTCATTCACACCTGATTTACCTCACACCACAACCCCCCTTACACATAAACCCCCCTTACATATGAACACCCCTTACACCACAACACCCCTTACACATGCACACCCCTTACACATGAACACCCCTTACACATGAACACCGCTTACGCATGAACACCCCTTGCACCTGAACACACCCTTACACATGAACACCCCTTACACATGAACACCCCCCTTGCACCTGAACACCCCTTACACATGAACACCCCTTACACCACAACCCCCCTTACACATGAACACCGCTTACACATGAACACCCCTAGCACCTGAACACACCCTTACACATGAACACCCTTACACATGAACACCCCTTGCACATAAACACCCCCTCGCACCTGAACACCCCTTACACATGAACACCCCCTTGCACCTGAACACCCCTTACACATGAACACCCCTTACACCTGAACACCCCCTTGCACCTGAACACCCCTTACACCTGAACACCCCTTACACATGAACACCCCCTTGCACCTGAACACCCCTTACACATGAACACCCCTTACACCTGAACCCCTTCACGCATGAACTCCCGAGTTCAACCTCGGCCCTGATCAAACTCCCAAGTCCAACCGAAACGTGCAGAACCTACAGCGATTACCCGCCTCGCGACATTTCAATTAAATAATTGTCACGAATTAAAAACGAATACTGTATACAGGTAGTCCCCGACTTACGATACAGGGTAGTCCCCGACTTACGACGGAGATGCGTTACGACGACCCCATCGTAAGTCGAAAATATCGTAAGTCGAAGATGGCCTAGCCTACCCAGGAGTCTTAAAGAATGGTGATAATTTAGCAAAACAGAGCAATTTACAGTACCGTACTGTATAAACTATATACTGTATGCATTTATTAATTACAATACTGTATTGCACAGTAAAATTTTAAGTAAAAAACAAGGTAAATTCTTAGCCTACCTATATGAACTGCAATTTCATAGAAAGTTTATTTCAGGAAACAATCCTATCTGCTATAAACACTTTTAACATGCATTGAACGTATCGTAACGTATCATATTCTACCGTGCTCACCAAGATTCTGTCCGTCGTCTGCATACTTGAACGACGTTAAGGTTGTTGATGGCTACATTAACTTAGTTGTCGGAAGAGGAGGATGGCGATGATAAAGTTACAGTATCGTACCTCGTGATACGCTGCTGCGTTTGCCTGCCGCGCGAAATAAAAAAAAATATTTTACAATTTTGTCATATCGCTATCGCCATCGTAAGATCGAAATATCGTAAGTCGGACCGTCGTAAGTCGGGGACTACCTGTAAACGTAATCTATTATTCCGTTGTCACCCTTGCGAATTTAGAGCACGAATCGTCAACAAGTGACATTGCGCTCTACTACGATTCGATTCAATTAATCGTAAGCGCCTATAATCGATGTTTTTATTCGATTCGTTTCGTCACTCGGTGGAGAGGAAAAGTGGCGGGAAAAGTGGCGCCGAAATCGTGGATGGTGGTTGACACTTTAGGCCTCCCTCGCCAATTGATTGACCATACTTCACCCTTCACATACCCATAGCTGTCAACGGGTCACCCCTTATTCTTGTCCAGGGAAATTAATTTTTCAGGTCCATACGGCGTTACAGCCGTTTCAATACGTGCAAACTCAATTGTTGTCTATTTGTTTGTGTTTCTCCCTTGTGATAGGACTTTGATATTTATAAGGGTCACGGGGTGACCGATCATGTCTGAATTGGACTGTAATAAGGTTGACAGGTTTGGATATCACTCGAAGGCGACATTATAGCCGTGGCCGAGAATCAACCTTGGGTCACCATCGTTTGTAGCATATTAGAGAAGAGACCAATTGGTATAAACAGCTACATATCTGACCCTCCACGTACACGACACAATAGTATCTTCACCCGCACCTCCGAATTGCACGATTGGCTACGTGCGAAAGAAGTTCAACACACGTGCATGGGCCACACGGCCTCTTGGGAGGCCGCCGCTTGGTGCATTTGGTTGAACACAAAACAAACCTGGAGTGGTTTTCTACATCCAGTGTCTCATCAGCAGCAGTCAGGCTTCGCTTGAACCAATGCAGGCGAACTTCCAGGTATTTGTGGGCAAGCGCTGGTTTCGACATTCAGTCAAAATAAGTGCAGAACATGAACTCGTCACACCTGAGAGAACCCATGACTTAAAGCTTTCGTGACTGCAGGAATTCATATTATTTGGGTCTTTCGGTAAATGTCACGTAGATAGGTTCAAAGAAAATAACAAAAACTACGACGTTTCGATCGCAACACAAGCGGTCGTCATCAGGAAAAGGGGGTTAGCCACTAAAGGCAAACTGTTTATAAAGGTTTTACATGGGCATAGCCCAAGTGTCAGCAGCATGGACGGGGCAGCTGATGTTAATGTCAGTGATGGAGTTGAACCCAGGTTCTTAGCGGTGCCGGCTCAGCACACCGCTTATTTGGTTCGCGTTTTTAAGTGACGCGGGGTCAGAGTTAATCGACCCTGATGGCAGTGACGCACAAAACGACACAAGTTTACAAAACATCATAATTTATTCTCTTCACATGACATCATCACATCATTACAGGGCTTCATTTCTCACAAAATATTTTCCAAGCTGCTTGCAGACTAGAGGTGGTGACACGTGACTAGGAGTCACAGCCCTAGCGAGAGGTAAATTGGATTTAGTGTTTGTTACGGATATATATTTTTGCAACTCATAACAGTGTGGACGGAGTGACGCAGGGACAGGGTAGGGCCTCTCCAAGGGGTCCTCTGCTTCATAACGTCCCCTTCTCCACAAGGATTCCTGCTCCTCAGGCTCCCCAATGGAGCTGTGAGAAGGATGACATCTCATCTGCCCAGTCCTTAAAAGCAGCAGCTTTTAAAGCGGGTAGCCTCAAGTGTGCCAACAGCACTATGCCACCACCCGAAGGAGCCATTAACAGGAGTTGACTTTTACACCGGCCGAGTCAGTGCCGATGAACTTAAATATCCAAAGTGTCCGGAGGTCGTGGCCGGTCGGAGCCCTTGTCGCTTGGGTCAACGTAGCAGCATAACCCTTCCCTTAAAAACACACGCGCACACTTCTGTGGCTAAAGTTGGCACAAGTAATTATAAACTCTAAAGATGGGGCTTCTCTCAAACACCAGCAAACGCGTGCGAGATGCTGCCATCTCGAGCTGGGGTGCATTCCTTGGGGCGAGCGCTCAACAGCGCTCTCCTACCGAAGGACCTGTTAGCCCACAGGGCATCATAATAGGGGTTAACAGTCTGAGGATCTGCCTCGCTGAGCGTTGGTTGGGCGTTGGTTGGGCGTGTCGAATCGTTTCAAGGTCTGATTGGTCGTGAATGTCTACCATCTCGAAACATTCTGACACGACCACCCAACGAACCAAGCGAGTTGTGCAATTTTCTCCACAATTAAAAAAAAGAGCTGCAAACACACCGTTCGGCAGAGCGCTCTGGCCCGCTGAACGCGCCCCTGGGATGACAGTGGGCTAAGTCGACGAACCCGATTAAAATTACGATCGACTACTTTTTGTTGTGGTCGATTAATTGGGCCTCTTTTAAAAACGGTAGCTGCCTCGACATGCCGCCTTCCCAAAGGTGGGAAGCCCCCCCGACAAGCCACGCCCAGCGTGACTCACTGACGATGTGGATAACGAGCATCAATTCCCGCACATCGCCTCCCGTCTCGCGGCACACGCGGAAACAGTGGTGAGACTTTTTTTTCATCAAATATTTTCCGATTAGTTGTGCAGTTTGCCCCATAACAGGCACAACAATCGACTACTTAAATAATCAGATGTTCCAGCTCTACTCTCATCCCTCACGAGCTTCCAGTCAAGAGAGCGCTGGCTGTTGGTCTGTGCAGTCCGCACCAGGCCGCACTCTCTTCTCCATCTTTACTCTCCCAAGTAGCAACCACATTCCATGCACCGCAGTGGTCCCGTGAGGTCTGGTGAGGGGGTCTCTCTGGGGGTCTCGTGCCCATGGGAACCATAAGTCCTGGTGGGGGGGGGGGTGTCTGTGCATCCCATAGTTCTAGAGACCTTGAGCCCCCATGAGGTCCACATATCTCAAGGTCGCATCCTGGAGACCCCTGTGCCAATAGGCAGGGGGGGGGTCTCATAGTCCTGGAAATCTTGAGTCCCTGCGCACTCCATGCCCGATACTCCTTGAGGGAGGGGGGATCTCGATCCCCTCGGAAATCCCAGGGCGCGATCAGATGAGAGGTTCAGAGCCGATGCCGTGCAGGCCGGGCGCCCCCCGCGGGGGGCCGCTTGGAGTGTCGCTGAGTGAGCCCGGGGTGTCGAGATCAGAGGGGGCCATGTGGGACGCCAACCCTCCATTTTGACGGCCGTGGGGGGCGCGACCCACGAGGCCGGATCCCCCCATCGAGTCGCGGTCACTGTCCGAGTCCGACTGGCGGTGCCGGGGTCCCGGGGAAGAGATGCTCATCGCTTTGTGGCGTCCACCTGTGGTAGGGGAGAGGAGGGGTGTAGAGTCGTGGGGAGACAAGGGGGGGGGTGAGGAGGGGGGTGGGGGATAAAAGAGAGAGGGGAGATGAGGAGAGAGGGAGACGAGGAGGTGGGAGAAGAGAGACAGGGAGTTTGTTGTGTCTGTCCGCTGCGCTGAGCTGAATGATGCAGTATGTGGAGGGGTGTGTGTGTGTGGAGAAGACTCATGAGGAACGCTGCTGGGCAGTGGGCAGCAGCCACCCTCCAACAACAAAGGAATGGAGGAACGACGCTCGCAACAACGGGCAGAGCACCCGGTGCGCAATACGCAGCAAGTTAGAACGTGCTGACGTCACTGCCAGTCAACTCAGCCAAACCATAACACCTGGGTCTGTCTCGTGACCTCCTGCCAGCGAGCCGACACTTCACGTGGCCTCAAGGTGCACAAGTGCCGTGGTGACATCACTGTCAGTTATTGACGAACGGCAACTGTTGCTGAGTACGCATGTGTGTGTAGTTGAGTGGTGAGCGTGCTGCGCTACGAACCCGGTGACCCGAGTTTAATTCCCGCTCACGACCAACACCAGTGGCGGAAATTTGAACCAGTCCAGGGCCTCCCCATTGTTCGACTCAGCCTCATATGAGTACCTAGTGCAATGTATGAAACATCAGCACTGAGGACACAAAGGCGACCGGGCGTGGTGTTGGCCACCCACCCCCTCGTGTTGCCGTGCCGGCCTTCATAGGTGCCCGCTAACATTGCTTGCCCCAACAGTATATTATGTTAAGGCTTTACGGGGGATCTTTGTCTTTGTGTGCGTGGGTATGTCTGTGTGTGCATGCGTGTGTGTGCGGGGAGCAGGGGGTGGGGGCCGCTGTACCCACCCGGCGTGCAGCGCTTGCCGCGGGACCGCAGCTCGAGGGAGTCTCGCTCCTCCGGGCTGCCGAGCACGCGGTACCGCGACCGCCGGACGCTGGCGCCCCTGCTCCTCCCACGCACACACACACTTACATACACACACACGCATATATATACACACACACACACACACGCCCCCACAGATACACACACAGACACACACACATGAACACGCACACACATAGATATAGAGACATAGACATACATGAACACACGACAACACACATACTCTCTCCAACACCCTCCTTCGTCTCCCCAGTCGCGATATTTACACACTGCACCAGGTACCTATTTGATGCTGAGTGGACTGAGGGGATGCCCAGGACCGCTTCGGATAATCGTCACTAATGTTGGCCGTGTGCGCAAATCTAAGTCAGGTCAACGGGTTTGTAGAGCAGCGTGCTCCAAGCTACAGTACTACCGTGCACGTACACACACGTGTACACGTGAATACATACACAAGCACACAGATGCACACACGCAGAGAGTATACAAGAAGATGTACATCATCATTCACGCGCAGACACAAACACACACACACAGGTGTATGTGCGACGAGAATATCAGCGTGTCAGATTATGCACGGTGAGTGGGAGCGAGTTGTGTTTGGTGAGGAGGTGCCAGGAGCCGGTGAAGTATGGGTGGGGTGGCCTCCCACCTGCAGCGCCGGCAGCAGTAAACCAGCAGCCAGACGGCCGCGCCGAGTGCCAGCGTCACCCCGAGCAGCGCCAGCCCCACGTACAGCACGCTCCAGTCTGCCGCGCCACCAGAAGGAGCGGGGTGGGGGGAGGGGAGTGCGGAGGTGGGGGTCAGTCACAAGCGTGGGCAGTAGGGGGGGGTGGTCCATGGAGAGGTGCTGGGGTGATCGCATCCCCATTGACCCCGGGATTTAAAAGCAGGGAGAGAGGGAGGAGGGAGAGAGTGATGGGGAGGAGTGAGGGATGAGCAGGCGGTGAATAATTGAGGGGGAGAGATGGAAGAGAGGGAGGGATGGGGAGGGAGGCCGCACCACAGTTGCTCTCTCCGTCCCCCAGGTGACTGCGGATGGGATCCTCCATCCAGAACGGCTGGCAGTGGCACGAGCGTGTCAGGCCGTCACAGTGCCCGTGTCCCGAGCACGGAAGCTGGCACCCTGGCCGTGGGGGGGAAGGGGGCAGGGGGAGCAGGGTGGCGGGGGGGGGATATAAATACACTCATCTATACGTGCACACACACACACTCGTCTACACGTACACTCAGACGCACTCAACAGTACACTCATGCTTACAGTCATCCATCCACATTGAGCAATACTTTCTATGCCTAGTTCAGGGTGGTGTGGGAGTGTGGGGTGTGCATGTGGGAAGTGTGCGCGGGTGTGTATTTTTGTGTGTATCGGTGATTCCCGTTCACAGCCAACACCAGTGACGATTATTTTAACTGGTCCTGGGTCTCCCCTAGGTCGACTCAGCCTCAAAGGAGTATCCGGTGTGGTGTGTACACATCGCCACTCGGGAGACAGAGGCGGCTGGGCATGGTGCCGGCCACCCACCCCGTCGTGCGCTGTGCCAGCCTTCGTAAGTGCTACTCGCTAGCAACACTTGCCCCAACAGTCTGTTGAGGCTATATGCGGGACTTTTGCCTGTGTTGTGCGTGCAGGCCGCTCACTCTGGGTGTCCACCCTCAGCATGGCGAAGGGCAGCAGCTCCCCGCCGGAACCGGCGAGCCGGCGGCGCAGCGAGCGCGACACGTTCAGGCCGGGCAGAGCCCCACCTCCCTCTCCTAGTCGCTCTGCGTGCAGAATCACGGCCGTGCTGGGGGTAGGGGGCATAGGTGGGGGCGGGGGGGGCACGGGGCGGAGGGGGGCGCATGAAAGGTTACATTGAATCCGCGATGACGAGCAGATGTATGTGTGTTGGAGGCGCCCTCCGAAAGCCAAGTAGGACGGAGGAGTGACAACGAACGGAGCGCCGGGCGGCTAAAACACAGAGAGTTGGCACATGGGGAGCACAGGTGGTGCACCTGCCAGTCACCTCGGTTAGTTAACCCATAACACCTGGGTCTGTCCCGCGACCTCCTGCCAGCCTGGGACAAACACCATGGGGATGTCACTGCCACTGAGTGTCGAATGGCGGCTGATGTTATTGTCTCTGTGTGCGTGCGTCAGCCGGTGTGAGAATGCGCCGGCACCTGTCGTCGGCGAGGCTGCGCACGGCATGCACATGCACGAGCTGGTCCTGTAGGCCCAGCAGCAGCGCCAGCTTGCGCTTCAGCAGCTGCATGTGCCGCTCCAGAAGCTGAGGAGCTTCCACCTCCAGCACCAGCTCCACCAGAGCGTCCCGCAGGGGGTCTGCCCCAGGGCAACAGGCGCGGGGGGGGGGCACAGGCGGAGATGCGGGCAGGCAGGTAAGCAGGTAGGTACATAGCTAGACAGCCCGCCAGGTAGACTGCTAGCAAAGCAAGCATGTACATAACAGGTAGACGTATGGGTAGTGAGGTTGGCAGGCAAACAGGTAGGCAGGTAGGCAGGTGGGCCGGTAGGCAGACGAGCAGACAGGCAGACAGACAGGAGTTCAGGCAGACAGGTACGCAAGTCAACAGACAGGTGGACGAGTTGGCAAACAGGCGGACAGGTGAGCAGACAGGTATAAAAGTTGACAGACAGGTAGGCAGATCAGTAGACATGCAGACAGGCAGGTCAGCAGACAGAAAGACAGCTGGTCTTAGGATTAGTGAGTTGGCGAGGCCCACTCACCTTGCTGGACCTCCAAGTGTGCGGTGTCCGTGTGGGAGAGGCCACGCGCGTCCGTCACCGTGAGGTGGAACTGGTAGCTCCCCTCCACCACGTTACTCAGCAGCAGGACAGCCCGCGAGTCCGAGCCCTCCAGCACCTCCTGCCGGGTACCAGCACGCACGGTCAGGGTACGGAACCCTACCCGGACCCTACCTGGGATCCTGCCCGGACCCTTCCATGAATAAACTAGGACACCACCAGGACCCTGCCCAGAGCCTAACCTGAGCTCAACTCAGGCCCTAGCCAGGCTCTATCCAGATCCTGCCGGAACCCTACTTGGCCCCAATGTGGACTCTTCCGTGACCCCTGACCCCATTGCAATGCATGCACGAGCGTCAGTACCATGGACAGCACCGTCGCGCTGGTCCTCGTATTAGCGGCTGTGGTAGTATTAGTGATGGCGTAAGTGGTGGTGGTTGTATTCATGAGGAGCGGTGGGGCAGCGGTTAGCGAGCTGCGTTACGAACCAAGTGACCCGAGCTCGATTCCCGCTCATGGCGAACACCAGTGAAAATTATCTGAACCGGTCCTGGGCCTCTCCTAGGACTGGGAAGACAAAGGCGGCCGGGGTGTGGTGCTGGCTACCCACCTCCTCGTGTGTCATGCCGGCCTTCATAGGTGCTAACTAACAGCACTTTCCCCAAACAGTCTGTTAAAGGCTATGCAGGGCATCTTTGTCTTTGTTATCACTCATGCTGTTGTAAGTGCTGGTGTTAGCGCTGATGTAAGCACTGGTGCTAGTGCTGGTGCTAGCGCTGGCGTAAGCGCTGGTGTAAGCGCTGGTGCTAGCGCTGGTGCCCGAGTCGGCGTTGGTGGCTGTGGCGCACCCCGGCAGCTGGGCTGGCCTCGTCGCGCTGCCAGCGGAAGCTCACGATGCCCTGGTCGTCGGACGAGAGCGAGCCGTTGAGTCTCACGACCCCCGCGGGCAGAGTCACCGTCACGGCGCCCCCCGCCCTCGACACCGGCCGCTCGTTCACCTCTAACGGGGGAGGGGGGGGTCGAAGTGAGTGAGGGGGCGGCACAGGGGTCATGAGGGTCAGGGAGGGTTCGCAGGTTCCCCGAGGGTAGCGGCCCAGTAAACTCTTCAACTAAACAACACTCTTTTGTATTTTACCAGGTAAAGCCCACTGAGCTATATATCTCTTTATCAGAAGCGACCTGGCCACAAATGGTAGCTCAACGAAGTGGCTTATCATGTGGAAATTTATAGCAGCCAAAGAATCTAAAAGCATGTTGATTCTAAATGTAGAGGTAAAAACCGGAGGAAGAGAGAGAGACACACAAATCCCAATTATACAGGTGTCTGGGTCGGGATCGAACCCACGCACTCCTGCATATCAGGTGAGGGTGGTAACATCTCGCCACCGTGGTGTCCCTTGTGGAACGTTGGCCCAACAGTTCCACCCGCGTGCCAACGTGAATGTTTTCTGGGGAAGGCTTGCGATTCGGCCACTCGCGAAGGACAAACTGCGCTGCAAACAGACACCTTCCTGCCACGTGCACGCACGCATGGAGGCAGATGCGACCGAACGTGCACGCTCGCAGCGACTCGTACGGCGAGCGCGCTCGCCCCGACGACCCCGCGCAGCACCCGGGGGTCGAACTCACCCTGACGGACCGTGACGCTCACCACGTCGCTCGCCACCAGCCCCTTGGCGTCGCGCACCGTCAGGCGGAAGCCGTAGACCCCGACGCCCAGCCCGGCTATGCGCAGCTCCGGCCTGTCCACGCCCGTCAGTCGGGCGCCGTCGGGCCCACTGGCACGCACGCGCAGAGAAAGACAAAGGTCCCCCATGTATCCTGCCCACCCGACTCGGACAAGGGCAAACGCAACCACGGCGAACTTAACACGGAAATGCTTTCGCGACCCGTATTATTCACGATATGGCGTAAATATGTCGTAAACCCACCTCCCGCCAACACAGCCGATAAGTAATGTTTGTCACTTTGTGAATAAAACGTGCCCAATTCGTTACGACTTCGGCACTACACCGGCTGTGTGTTGGAGAGAAAACCCATAAGATTTACAATTTCAGTTAATGACGTTTCGCTGGTGATTACAGCAACCTGCTTCATCAGGAAATTGCCAGAATTGTCTGAAATTCTCCAATGACTGGCAGGTACACGACCAGTCCTCCCCACGCTGCAAACTTTCTGCATTTTGGCCACCCGGCGCTCCGGCTGTTGTTGTAAGCGTAGCTCCTCCGCCCTCCGCTCTTTCAACAACAACAGCCACCATTCGCCATTAAGTGGCCGTGACTTCACCATGGCACCGGTGCCCAGCTATGTGCACTTTGAGGCCACGTGAAGTGTCGGAGGCTCGCTGGCAGGAGGCCACAGAACAGACCCAGGTGCCACGGGTTGACTGATTAAGATGACTGGCAGATACACCGCCTGTGCTCCCCACTGTGCCAACTTTCTGCGTTTTGGTCGACTGGCACTCTGCTCATTGTTGTGAGCATCGCTCCTCCACCCTACGTTATTGCTGGAGGGTGACCGCCTCCAACTGCTCAGCAGCGTCCTTCACGAACCTCACAGAGGCCCATCCACAGAACCCGATCTTGACACCGCTGCTACCAGAGCCATCGGCAAGTCCATTGACCGACTGCGATGACCGGAAGATGAACCACCTGTGCTCCCCACTGTGCCAACGCACGTGCGGGCGCACACGCGCGCCCACGCGTGCCCACGCGCACACGCAGGGACGGCCACTCACCTGGTTTTCTCCCACAGGTATCCCACGATGCCACGGTCGTCGTGGCTCCGCGAGCCGTCGAGCGTCGTGTCGGCCGACGGCGCAGTCAGCTCCTTGTCGGGCCCCGCGTCAGCCACGGGGGGCAGGTTCACCTCTGGTATTGCCACGGCAACCGGGGGGCAACAGGCGGCACAGCCGGGAGGTGACGGGGGGGGGGGGGGGGGCGGGCGGCAGACGGTGTTACACAGCCGCTCACCTGTACCCAGCGCTCCCCTCTTCTACCACTGACCTATTGCGCCTTGCAACTCACTTGGCTTCTCTCCACAGCTCGCCCATCACCCACCTCTCCAGTTACCTCACCTCTGACCCGTCCCACCTCTCACCTGCCTCACCTGCCTCACCGGTCACCTGCCTTAACCCTCACCAGTTTCACCCCGCACCTGTTCCACCAAACACCTGTCTCGCCCCTCGCCTGTCTCATCCCTCAACCGTCCTCACCCTTTGCCTGTCTGACCGCTCACCCGTCTCACCCCTCACCCGTCTCGCCCATCGCCCGCCTCGGTTCCCCCGCACCTGCCCGGCCCTGCGCGTGTCCCCGCCGCTCACCTGGCTGCACGATGACGCTGACCTGCGCCGTGTCGTGCTGGCCCGCCACGTCGGCCACCGTGAGCTGAAACACGTACTCGCCCTCCTGCAGCGCCGACAGGTGCAGGTACGGCGTGCGCACTCCCTGCCACGCCGCGTCGCCACGCCGTCACATTGCCATCGTCATCGCACTTTCATGAACGTTACTTAGTTATTGACATACTTATTTACTTAATAATAGGGTTTTTCCACTTTTTTTCTGGCAACAAATCAGGTTTCAGTTTTGTTATAATATTTTGGTACTGGCAAAGGAGGTCCAATGATGTAGATGTTTACCCCGAGCCCTCATTACTTTGATAGTGCATTGTCTTTGAGCTGTACGCCTTTTGGCGTCCTCTGGTCTAGCACCAATTGAGACGAGGCTCAAAAGAAAGCCGTCTCTGGTGTGGACCAATCATTTTCAAGGACAATGCATCATATTATCAGAGTGTGTTTTTTCTTTGCATTTTGACCACAAGTATTGTGGTTAATGCAGACATGATTCCTCGTAAAAAGGTTTCAGTTTTGTTTCTAGCAAGTGTTGTATTTTCTAGATCCATCATCATGGGATCTCCTTTGCCAGTACCAAAATATGAGAATAGGTTTTCCCCTTTTTTCTGGCAACAAAACAGGTGTTAAAACACCAAACTGAAACCTTTTACAAGGAATCATATCTGCATTAACCACAATACTTGTGGTCAGAATGCAAACAAAAAACATACTCTGATAATATATGCATTGTCTTGGAAACTGATTTTTTTGTTTGCATTCTGACCACAAATTTTGTGGTTAATGCAGACACGATTCCTTGTAAAAAGGTTTCGGTTTTGTTGTCAGAAAAAAGGGGAAAAACCCTATTATTAGTTACTAGTTCAACACACCGGTGTGTTGGAGAGTAAGCCTGCAACGTTTACAATTCGAGTACTGTAACGTTTCGCTGGTGATTACAACAACCAGCATCATCAGGCATTTTCTCTACTTTGCACTCCTGTCGTTTTTTTATTGGCAGTATTTGTTGTTGTAACCTGCTGACCCGCCCCGACCGGACGTTTGTGAAAAAGAGCTTCACGGCTCATCGGATTCTTTCTGCAGTCTAAATAAATATTCCGATAAAAAAATTAACACTCTGGTGGGGGTCAAAACTCCACCTCTCACTGGCAGCCAGGCACACCTGAGCAGCGGTGGCGGCGTGACTGGCGGAGCCTGCGGTGTCACCAACCGCCGCTCACCTGCATGTTCACCACCTTGATCTGGCTGCCGGGGCTGATGGCCCACTCGTACGTGGTGATGGCGTGGTCGTCGGCGCTCTGGTTGCCGTTCAGAGTCAGCTCACTCTGCGGTAGGGTCAGCACCTGTGGGACACCGGGCACGGGGTGGGTGGGTCGGGGGGGGGGGGGCTCACGTTTATAACGGGGACCCCCACCCGGGGACCCCCACCCGGGGTCACCGTCCGGTGTTGGGGGTCACCGGGATTGGGCCCGAGGTCTAAAGCTGTCATCCTTCGCCTAGATTGTACCATTACCTGGATTGTACCATTATCTAGATTGTACCATTATCTAGATTGTACCATTACCTGGAATGTACAATTACCTGGATTGTATCATTAACTGGATTGTACGGTTACCTGGATTGTACAATTATCTTGATTGTAGCATTACCTGAAATGTGCCATTACCTGGATTGTACAATTATCTAGATTGTACCATTACCTGGATTGTACAATTACCTGGATTGTACCATTATCTGGATTGTGCCATTACCTGGATTGTACAATTATCTGGATTGTACCATTACCTGGATTGTACAATTATCTTGATTGTAGCAATACCTGAAATGTACCATTACCTGGATTGTACAATTATCTAGATTGTACAATTACCTGGATTGTACCATTATCTGGATTGTACCATTACTTGGATTGTACAATTATCTTGATTGTAGCATAACCTGAAATGTACCAATACCTGGATTGTACAGTTATCTAGATTGTACCATTACCTGGATTGTACCATTACCTAGGAGGCATTATAGACTGTGCCATTACCTGGGTGGGTCCCGCGTCGGCCACTGGAGGTCGGTCAACAGGGCGCGTCACCGTCACATTCGCCTCCGTGGAGTCACTCACTCCGTCCGTGTCAACCACAGTCAACCTGTCAAAGACAAAGATCGTCCGTATATAGCCTTAACAGGCTGTTGGGGCAAGTGATGTCAGCGAGCACCTCCGAAGGCCGGTACGGCACACGAGGGAGTGGGTGGCCAGCACCACGCCCGACCGCCTCTGTCTCCCCAGTGCCAATGTTTACACACCGCACCAATACGGAGGCCCACGACGAGGTCAGATAATCGTCACTGGTGAGGCCATGAGCGGGAATCGAACTCTGGTAGCTGGGTTTGTAGTGCAGCGTATATGTACATACAAAAGACAATGATCCCCCATATAGCCTGAACAGACTTTTGGGGCAAGTGCTGTTAGCAAGCACCTATGATGGCCAACACGGCACATGAGGGGGTGGGTGGCCCGGCCACCTTTATCTCCCTAGTGGCGATGTTTACACACCGCACCAGGTACGCATTTTAGGCTGAGTCGACCTAGGGGAGGCCCAGAACCGGTTCAGATAAATATAATCGTCCCTGGTAATGGTGGCTGTGAGTGGGAATTGAACTCGGATCACCGGGTTTGTAGCGCAGTGCGCTAATCGCTCCCCATATGCACATATGGTCATATACAACAACAACAACAACCACTATTCGCCACGAAGTGGCGGTGGAGTCACCACGATGCTTGTGCCAGGCCATGTGCACATTGAGGCCATGTGAAGTGTCGAACGCCCGCTGGCACGAGGTCACGGGGCAGACCCAGGTGCCACGGGTCGACTGACTGAGATGACCGGCTGATGCACCACCTGTGCCCCCTATTGTGACAACTTGCTGTTAAATCTTGATTTGAAGCTTTCGTGACTGCAGGAATTCATACTCTTTGGTTCTTTCGGTAAAGTCACGTAGATAGAAAAATAACTAATAGATCACGACGTTTCGATCGCAACACAAGCAATCGTCCTCAGGTGAAAAAAACAGGAAGAAATGTAGCGAGAGAGCTACTGTAGTCAAAGGTTATATAGGTTTGAGATGGGCACAACCCAAGGGTAAGTGGGTGGGGATAGAGATGGAATTTGCAAGTAAATGTAAGATCGCAGAGCTAGGCATACCTCGGCTAATCCAAGGGGGGGAGGGGAGGGGGCTGTAGATGGTGAGAGTGGGCCTGTCGCTTTTTCTCAGCCAGTCTGAACACCTCCTCTGTCAGCCAGGGTCTCCTGGTGTCAAGGAAATGGGCCCACACCCGCTGTTCCATCACTATGTAGTCCAGCAGATGTTCTTGCTTGGACCCGGCATGCATCCATGATGTTGTGTGGATGCGCCGATGCCAGAATAGCGTGTTGGTTGCACAAAAATCTAGCAGCTTCCTGCCGTTGAGCTGATCTGGCCCATGCCTTCAAATCACTCCAGACCAGGTTCCAGCATCATGACCAACTCGGGCATTGAAGTCACCCAACAAGATGACTCTATCCTGAGGGGCCACTTTAGCTAGTACCTGTGACAGGAGGTCATATAAGGCATCTGACTCATCGGCCTTGCCTGCATCCCTCCACGGATGTTCGTCTTTGGTGGGGGCATAAGTTACCACAACCACCACTCCTTGCCTCTGGTTGATGGGAAGGCGAGCCTAAAGTAGCCTGGGGCTTACAGCTTCCCACACCTCACCACCACACTCCCACGCCCCTTTCATTCTTTTGTTCAGAAGAAGAGACACTTCCTGTTGTTTGGCAGTCTCCTGCCCCGAGTAAGAGGACTGTCCACCCCTCATTGTTGCAGAAGTCAGAGCCGGTCCACCGGACCTCCTGAATACCACAGAGATCCAGGCGATACCGGTCCAGCTCCCGACAGAGGAGTGGCAGCCTCTCCTCCGCAGTGAGCGTTCGAACATTCCACGTGGCCACCCGTAGTGGTTTTTTGTTGTTTCTGGAGGAGCCCCGAGGGTAAGGATTCAGTTTCCTGGCTCTGCCAAATGGGGTGTAGCCAGGCGACATCATCGATGTCTGTCCCCCCGGGGCCTCCGGCACAAGCTTAATTCAATGTTTAATGTATCAATCGTGGTTTGGTGGTAATTAATTGAAGGTGGAGGGGTTACCAGCCCCTCACACCCGTCCAGAACCCCCATTTGGCCGCTGTGGTGATTACAAACGCCATGAGGGGAATGGCCAATCTAAATTGGCCCTCCCTCCACAGCACTGCCCACCACAGCGTTGCCGTCCGGCGCCAACGAGGAGGTACGGGGTTGTTTTTGCCGGACTCATATACATACACTCATATATACTATATATACATACACTCCTATATATACTATATATAAGAAATACCTCTGCAGCCTTGAACAGACTGTTCGGGAAAGTACCCTTAGCAAGCAACTATGAAAGCCAGCATGGCACACGAGAGGGAGGTGTGGTCAGCACCGCACCCGGCCACCCGGCCGTCTTTGTCTCCCCTATACTGATGTTTTACTCACTGCACCAGGTTCTCATTTATGGCTGAGTCGACCTAAGACAGACCCAGGAATTTCGATTTAAAGCTGTAGTGACTGCATCGATTCATCGGGAAAACAGCGCTGTCGTCCCAACAGTTCTGCTTCTTCACCTGAGGAAGGCTACTTGTGTCGTGGCCGAAACGTCGCGAGAATTTTATTTTATTATGTTTTATTTTTATTATTTTATTTCCATTCTACGCGACTTTACTGAAAGAACCAAGAAGACCCAGGAATGTTTCAGATATAAGTTGAAATTGTGTATGTGGTAATAAGCGTGTGTCGGTGTGTACGTGATGGTCAGTGTGTGTCGGTGTGTACGTGATGATGAGTGATGAGTGTGTGTCGGTGTGTACGTGATGGTCAGTGTGTGTCAGTGTGTACGTGATGATGAGTGGTGAGTGTGTGTCGGTGTGTACGTGATGGTCAGTGTGTGTCGGTGTGTACGTGATGATGAGTGGTGAGTGTGTGTCGGTGTGTACGTGATGGTCAGTGTGTGTCGGTGTGTATGTGATGGTGAATGTGTGTCAGTGTGTGCGTGATGGTCAGTGTGTGTCGGTGTGTGCGTGATGGTGAGTTTGTTTCAGTGCGTGCGTGATGGTGAGTGCGTGCTGGTGAGGCTATGAGGCCGGCTATGCGTTGGCGTGCTGTGCCAGGGCGTGGGTGCGGTCACGGTGAGCCACAACCGCACCCAGCCAAGCCGGTCTGTCGGCACCATCACTGGGCCGCCCCGGGCTGGATCAGGGCTAGTGGGGTCGGCATGGGGGGGGGGGGGTGGTGGAGCGTGGAGCGGGGGGGAGGGGCGGGGTAGAGGGGTGCCCGTGCCCGGGGGCAGCTGGGACCGAATTCCTCACTCGGCACGTTCGCGAGCCACTGGGCACGCTGAGAGAATCGCTCCTCCAGCTTCTCCTGTTCTCACACGGCAATGCCCGCGTGCTCGTGTCGACGTTGGGGAGTGAGCCAGCGGAAGGCTTCAGGAGTCACGCAGTCAATTTATGAAACGCTGCTGGGGCGAGTGATCTAAGCGGGCAGTGGTGTCACTATGTGGTCTCGGTTCGAGATGTAGCCTCACGTGGAGGTGCACAGACTCGCACAGAGACCCGCAGATGGAAGCCCGTGGTGGCGTTACCACGTGGTCCGCGGTTAGAGATTGATGACTGCAGTCGCCCCCCAACCCCCTACCCCCTCCAACTCTCGCCCATCGGTGCAGAGGAGACAGCCGCGGTTGCCGCACGACGTTCCGGTGACTCCCGGCCACTCTCGCAGGCGGAGGCTACCCCGGTGGTCTCTCGAGCCTCTCCACGGGTTCAACAAAACTGACTGCGCAAGTAGCGCGTGTGCTCCTGTGCGAGCGCGGCGGCGGGGGTGGCTGACCGAAAGGCGTAGGATCCGGGCACCAGGTTGTTGAGGCCCAGCACGGCAGTGTCCCTGGCACCACCCGACTCCCGCGTGGGCCCCCGCACCTGCTCCCAGTGGTAGCTCGCAATGCCATCGTCGTCCTGGCTCTCTACGCGCACCACCGTGGGGAGAAGCGCGTCGCGTCATTGCACTGGGGCCTATGGTACATTCACATTCATGGCCTCTGGGACATTCACATTCGGGGCCCCAGGGACATTCACATTTGGGGCCCCTGGGACATTCATATTCGGGTCCCCTGGGACATTCACATTCGGGGCCCCTGGGACATTCACATTCGGGGCCCCAGGGACATTCACATTCGGGGCCCCAGGGACATTCACATTCGGGGCCCCAGGGACATTCACATTCGGGGCCTATGGTACATTCACATTCTGGGCCCCTGGGACATTCACATTCGGGACCCCTGGGACATTCACATTCGGGGCCCCGGGGACATTCACATTCGGGGCCCCTGGGACATTCACATTCGGGGCCCCTGGTACATTTTACGATTAATAATTGTTTGTTTTTGACAGAGCGCCCTTCCCGCCAGGGTGTTTCAGAGCACTTTACACAACGCGATACAACAAAGTAATTGATTGACATTGTACGTGCATATGCGCGTCACCGGTGTACCACGGCAAAGTTCCAGGCATACCGCCGTGTTTTTTTAATGATAGGAAAGGAAAGAACCTCAAGCGCAGTAGGAGGCTGTTAGGGTTGGAGTCACTCACGGCTGCCGTCGATGAAGGTGGAGGCTGCGGGTAGAGTGAGCTCCTGCGAACGGGGCAGAGCCACAGCCACGGGGGGCTGGTTCACGCGGGGGGCTACACGCGCGCACAAAGACAAAGGTCCCCCGTATAGCCTTCAGAGGGTTTTGGGAGCAAGTGCTGTTAGCGAGCGAAACCGACGAAGGTCGGCACGGCACACGAGGGGGTGGGTGGCCGGCACCACGCACACACACGCACAACAACAACAACAACAACCGCCATTCGCCACTAAGTGGCGGTGACGTCACCACGACGCTTGTGCCAGGCTATGTGCACCCTGAGGCCACGTGAAGTGTCGAACGCCCGCTGGCAGGAGGTCACGGGGCAGACCCAGGTGCCACGGGTCGACTGACTGAGATGACTGGCTGATGCACCACCTGTGCCCCCTACTGTGCCAACCTGCTGTGCTTTAGCCACCCGGCGCTCCGCTCGCTGTTGTGAGCGTCGCTCCTCCGCCCTCCGTTGTTGTTGGAGGGCGACTGCCTCCAACTGCCCAGTAGCATCCTTCACGAGCCTCCTCCACAGAGGCCGATCTTGACACCGCTGGTACCAGTCATCGGCAAGTCCACTCAGCTCCACGTCCTCCTGTACCACATCACTCCATCTCTTCTCTAGCCCGTGCCGCGCCCGCTTAGCCCCCTCAATCCGGCCAAACAAAAGCTGTTTCGGCATGCGGTGGCTGGGCATGCGGGCTACATGACCCAGCCATCGCAGCCTTGCCTGCCGGAGGAGCTCACCGATGGGACCCTGCCCAGATCTTTCAAGGATTTGTGAGCTCCTCACACAATCCAGTCTGGTTAAACCCAGGATGGATCGTAGGCAGGTCAGCCTAAATGTTTCTAA